GTATATCTCTACTGGGCTGTGGCTCACCCTATATGGGACATCATTTTCAGGTTCAGGTGACATGCCACCTCCAAGGACATAGCTTGGGAGGCTTAGAAGCTGAAGAATTTTTGTTGTTATCTTTTGTGTATTACATGTAAATTCAAGTCGAGAGCTTAATGTATATGAGTTAGTACTCTCTTTTTGTAACCAAGTGTTGGCTTGGAAAGTTGTAAGCCCATAAGGCATTTGCTTTTGTTGTCAACATGTAATACTTTTGTAATGAATACTCTGATAAATAGAAATATTATTTATTCTCTTATGTCTATGCAACGCCAAGAATGTGAGTTAATATGTATTATTTTGAGGGCGTTACAGTTTTCTCCAATATCTCATTTTATTATCCAATTTTTTTATAAAAATTAATATAATCTTAATTTAATTTGACAAAGTTGCATGTTCAATCACAACCATGGTGGATATGCAGTTTATAAAGAAAATCGAGTTCCAAGAGTTTGTTAAATTACATTTGCATTATCTAAAGTATTGATTAAATCCCATTTTAGACTTTAATTTTTTTTCTTCAATTTGATAATTAAAATATTCAAATTGTGTCAATGTGGTTTAATTGGTTGTTGACTAGAAAACATAATTGTGGGAAAATGTAATACTTTATGAGGCAAAATTAAAATTCAACGGGAAAGTTTCAATGTCACGTGAAATTCGTTGTCAGTTGCAAAATTGGACCATAATGATTATTTTATTCAATAATTTTTTAATAAATTAAATGTGAGAATGTAATAAGATAATTATTTTATTTTATTCTTGTAACATCTCCAATTCTTTATATATATATATATATTTTTTCCATCAAATTTATTCAACAATTTAAATTAAAAGCACGATTTGATATATAGCTCACTTTTCCAAGAGTGTAAATCAAAATTTTCATCAAATATTTTTAAAAATACCTAACCCATCTAAAAACCTTATTTAACAAATTCAATGAAAAAAAATTAATTTTCAATCCTTCATCTATTAATAATTTTTTCAAATTTAAGTAAAAATAATTATTAAAAATTTGATGAATAAATTATATCTAAGTTTTATCAAAATTTTAACTAAATTTAAAATTTGGCGACCTTAAAATTTATCCTCTTTTGGCAACTTTAAATTTTAACTCCTATTTGGCAAATGGATTGGCTTTTAGTTGAGACTAAAAAAGTACGAAAAGACAAAATAGATTAAATAAGTCAATAAGGTAAAATTTTACATTCAAACTATAATCATTTTACTTTTTTTCTAAAAAAAAACAAAAAAGTTAAAAAATTCTTACCAAACGTAGCTAGTTTAGCCTAGCTAAATTAGGCAAAGAGTCAAGCTAAAATAGTTCTTTACGAACGAACCCTAGCTAAAAATTAAAAGTTAATAAATTATATAAAAAAGTCAAAAATTTGATTTTCTCTTTACTTTTTACACTTTTTTTAATAATAATTTAAAAATTCATTCTAAATATACTAATTTTTTTTAGGAGCATTTATACACAAGTCTTAATTTATGAAATTATACTTCATTAAGTCATAATTAAAAAAATTTGGACCTTCAAGTTATAGCGATCCCGGTTTTCTCTCATTTGGTTGTTGTATTCCGGACTTAGGTTCCGTGGTGTTGGTTGTTGTATATATCTTGTTTCCATCATTCAATTCTCTATACTTGACTTTTAGGTTGTATTGGGCAAGTTTGTAACAGGTTAGTTATGATTGGGAACAAATAGTTGCTGCCCAGATTTTGGTGTCTTCGCTCGAGCGAGACTTTTGTCGCTCGAGCGAGCTCTGTGTTTTAGATCCTTCGCTCCAGCTAGGGTTCCTTTGCTCGAGCGAGAGTTGGGTAATGTGTCTGGTGGCTCGAGCGAGAAGTCTTGCGCTCGAGCTTGCGTCTGCGTCTGGTTCTGGACCTGAAAGTTGCAATTCTTCGCTCGAGCGAGCTTTCCTTCGCTCGAGCGAGCGAGGGCTATGTTTTGAGTTTCTTCGCTCGAGCGAGCTTCTCTTCGCTCAAGCGTGCTTCTGGGTTGCAGACCTGAAGCTTCGATTGTTGGCTCGAGCGAGGCTTTCTACGCTCGAGCGAGGTTTCTTTGTGTCTGGTCGCTCGAGCGACCACTCCTTCGCTCGAGCGAGCCTCGAATATATCAGTTCACAACAACAGCTTCTTCTTCACTTTTTCTACATCTCTTTTCTTTTCAAACCCTAGATCGACTACCTCTCTCTCTATATTTACCTTCTCTCTAAAAATACATCTAGTTCTAGTGTGTTTCTAGCCTATTCCCTTTGTAAGAAAGGTTGTGCTTGGTGTGGGCGTCACTTTGATCCGAAAATCTTTTGGTTCCTAGCATCTTGAGTTTTCTCCATCTTCTCCATTTGGTCTCTTCATTTCGAGGTAGGGATAACCTACTCTATTCTATGAGTTTTAACATAAATTTCAGTCATTTTAATTAAATGGTGAGTTATGGTAATTTTGAAAAAGTTAGGATTTGATTTAAGGTTATAAAAAGGGGGTTTTTCAAAAGATAAAATCCACATGTATGTGAGGTTATGAAAAATGGAATTATTGTGGTTGAATTGATGAAAATGAGCCTTAGGGCTATTGTTGGGAAAAAAGGAAAAAAAGCCCTAATTTAATGTGACCAATTAATTTGAATAATTAATTTGGGGAATTGTGTAATTGAGTTGAAATTCGTGAAATTGGGAAGTTGTGGGATTGAATGGTGTAGTTGGATAATTTAATCACTCACCTATGAGAATGTCGATGTTTTATCTGTTGATAAATTTATTATCTATTTAGAGATAACTGTTTTGGGCTATCGGTGGAGAATAGTCTTGATTGTTGTAGACATTGTATGATGATTAGGGAAAACTGAAACTAATCACATTGAATATGTCATTGAATATGATGGTTGGAAAAATATAGCAAATATGTGTATTGATTGATCGTTGTATATGATAAGTGTTTAAATACATTGTATATGTATATTGTTTGGGAGGAGATAGGGGATGTACTCCATGGTTTGAGAGGAGATAGGGGATGGACTCTCAAACCTGTTTGGGAGGAGATAGGGGATGGACTCCACTGATACAGCAAATCTGTATATCACTTGAAGTATGGAAGTGTTTTGATATGAGTTATATTCTCATGTGAATTGTGAAGTATGGAAGTGTTTTAATATGTGTTATAGTCTCATTAAATTGTTTGGCCAGGTTCTGAGACATAATTGTGAGTCGAAACTGTATGAGTGAAGGAAACTGAAATGAAAAATGGATGTACTTGATGTTGAATTGAAAAGTGTTGGAAGTTGGTTTATAAGTGTCAACCGTTTATCAAATACTATTGTTTTAGTTATTTCTCATACTTAGTTTAGTATATCTCTACTGGGCATTGGCTCACCCTATATGGGACATCATTTTTAGGTTCAGGTGATATGCCACCTCCAAAGATGTAGCTTGGGAGGCTTAGAGGCTTGAAGATCTTTTTGTTGTTTTCTTTATGTATTACATGTTAATCAAGCCCATGGCTTATTTTGTATAAAGAGTTAGAACTCTTCTTTTGTTGAACCCAAGTGTTGACTTGGAAAGTTGTAAGTCCTTAGGGCATTTACTTTTGATGTCAACATGTAATACTTTTGTGATAAATACTCTGATAAATAGATGTACACTTTATTCTCTGGAATATATTGTCAATTTCTTGTATCATGAATGTCTGAATTATGGGTTTTATTTTGAGGGCGTTACACAAGTCCCATTAAATTTTTAATAGTTAGAATTGCCTTTGAAATAATGATTGTTCATCATTTATGATTATTTATAAAAGAACAAGATGATTTGATATTTTAATTTTCAAAATTTTGAAACATCAACCTTAAAATTGAAAAAACAAAAAACAAAAAAAAAATTATGTGCCAAAAAAAAAAACTAAAAGTGTGTCTGGTTTCAGTTTTTTGAAAAAATTGAGTTTTTTGATTTCACGTTTTTTTTTTTTATCTAGTGAATATTTTTAAAATTTTAAGTAATTTTTTGATTTTTCACGTTTTTTTTTTTTATCTAGTGAATATTTTTAAAATTTTAAGTAATTCTTTTCCTTTTCTAGATGCACTTTACTTAGGTGTATCTAAATAGTAAAATATTTGTGAAAAAATATTTTTAAAAATAAATAAATACACAAAGATATGAAAATGTAATGAATTTTCTTTCTTTTTTTTTTTTGTATTTTTGGTATTTAGTGAATTTTTTTAAGATTTTATCCACAAATATTATACTTTTTAAGTGTATTTATATTAGGTGTCTAAAAATTTTAAAAATTACTTAAAATATTAAAAAAATTCATTGAAAACAAAAACATACGGAAAATAAAAAAAATAGAATTTTTTGAAAAGTGTTTTCTAAAAACAAAACTTTTTTTTTTTTTTGAAAAATTGAAAAATCTGAATTTTTTTTTGTGTGCGAAACTGCAAATTTTATGTCTATAAAGTAGCATGATGATGAAACATTGATGTGCAAACTGAAAAATAAAATAAAAAATGAGAAAATTGATAATGTTCTCAATTTTAAAACTGAAAAAACTAATAATGTTTTCGATTTTATTAGATAGTTGAATCAAACTAATGAGTAGACAGAAAAAAACGTTTAATCTCATGCTCTATTTTTTTATCAGTTAGTAAAACAATTATGTGGAATATTACTATACAAAATTGATAATATTCTTAGTTTTAAAAATTAGAAAAAAACTGATAATATTATCAGTTTACTAAATAGGACTACTATTTCAAAAAATCTTAGATAAGACCTGAGTTGTCATAACATTTATAAATAAAACTTTTAGATAATTAACTCTTTTTTAATCTCATATTTTAGCTAATAGCCTATTCCCAAACAACACCTTATTTGAGAAAAGAGCAAGCAGGTTAATACGACGTCGTCTTGTTAGAAAGAACTGTTTCATAAACTTCTTGTAGATGTGCCGTAACAGAGGCAATGGTGAAGAGAGATAGAGGACTCACAGATGAAGAAAGAAGGGCTCTTCGTGGTAGCAAATTCGCTCCTCTTCCTCCTTTTGTTTCCTCTCCTTCCCGATCCAAACCCAAACCCAGGTCTCATCCCTCTCTCTCTCTCTCTCTTTCTTTCTCTCTCTTATATCTTTAGTTTTTTTTAAAAAAAATCCATTTAGTTTATTAATTAATCATTATTGCAACTTATCAGACTAATCTGAATTCATTCTACAATCTCTTTCACTCTCTATTCATGGAATTAGGAGACTATGATTGTATTTTTGATAAATTTCATGAGAATTTTACCGGGTCTTGATTGAACTGAAAATTCAGACTTTACCCCCAATCAGATGGAATAAATTAAGCATATTGTTTGAATATCATGTGGGTTATTGTATGTTTTTGCTTTGTATTTGATTAATATGTCACAACCCAATTCTTATTTTTTTCATCCCCTCCTCAAGTTTCCAAGTATCGAACTCAACTACTCTCTTATTAATCTTTAGTTTAAAAAAATCAATTTAGTTTATTAATCATCATTACAACCTCTCAGACTAATCTGAATTCATTCTGCAATCTCCTTCACTCCCTATTCATGGAATTATGAGACTATTATTGTATTTTCGATGAATTTCATGAGAATTTTACTGAGTCTTGAACTAAAAATTCTGACTTTACCCCAATTAGATGGAATAGATAAAGCATATTGTTTGAATATTGAAAAAATTAAAATCCCTCAGATATTGATTTGTGATTACGTCTCACTTTTAAATAACGAATAACAATCCCAATTAAATAATCAAAAACAGATCAACACAAAGATTTAACATGGAAAAATCACAGTTGAAGCGCCTCCAATTGTGATAAAAAAAATTATAGGCCAAAGCCACAAAGCAATCCACTAAGAAAATAAAAAGGAACTACACATGTGGATCTTCAATTACCTAGTGAATCCACACCCGAATTTAACCAACTCCAATATGCCTCTTCCACCACCATCTTCACCTCGGAATTGTCTTGCTCAACCAGGGCCGGCCCTGGCCCAAGGCCAGTAAGGCCTGTGCCTTAGGCCCCAAAATTTTGGCCCAAAAATAGGGCCCAAATTTAGTAAAATGTTATAGGTTCAATGTTTTTTATTTTTATTTTTTTAGGATCAATTTAAAAGACCCCAAAATATTTTATTGGGTCCATGTATAGTTTAGCCCATATTTATTTATAAGTGTAGTTTGGCCCATATATATTAAAATGAAAATACATGTTAAAAAAAAAGTGTTTGGGCCCAAGAAGAACAACACATACAATATATGGGCCCTAAATTATTTTTTTTTTTTGTTTGCCTTCTTTATCTATTAGATTTTAGTGGAATAAATAATTTTGTCCTAATTTTTTTACCTAGGTCTTTATCAATTTTAATTGAATAATTTTTTCCCTAATTTTGTTTCATTAAATTGTTTTATTTATAATTTTAATGATTATATGTGCAAGTAAATTTTTTTATGGCTACAAACAAATAAAAAAGTTGTAACTTACCGTTTTATCTATGAACTTTTTTTTTTTCAATGTAAGAGAGGCCCCCTGTAGACGTCCCCGAATGCCCGGGAGGATGGGTCCCGTTCTGTTCGTTTTGGTCTCACTACAGTTCGGACTCTCAAATCGTCACGGTTCTTAATCTAAGCTAAAGAGTCCAAATCTGGCAAATCGTTTTGGAAAATAGATTTTTAGGAAAGAAGTGCCAAACATGGACTGTTTTGTCAGATACAGAGTCGCCACCTAAATATTTTTTATGGGAGAATTTAGGAAACCCTGACTCGTTTGCCTAAGGCCACGTGTCCATCATCACCAAAGTTGCCTCGGCTCGGAAACTTGGGTACGATTGGAGAAGGACAGCTATGAGCACCCCCTCTCGCCCGATCCGAAGATCGGCCTCTACTAACCATGATATCTTGTTTTGAAAACATTATGCATTCTTAAACCGGTTATTAGCCTAAAATTACTATGTGATGCATACAGCAAAACAAGTATAGATTAAATTGCCTAAGTCGGAACGAAGCATCGCATTCCCGTTTGTTTGGAAAATGGTTTGAATTTTGCTACTCACGAGTAGGCTAAAATACAGATTTCGATGAATTATCCCAATTCAAACAATCCAACCTTCACCTATAGGCATTCATGCAGTTATATCACATAAGCATATAGCCACATGGTAAGCATGCTATCATGTTAACATTCACACTCATGCGAGATGCTAAAGCATAAATACTTACATCGTACTCCGTGCCAAAGCAGTGAACTAGTTAGTAATCATATGCATGATCCTAATTCATGTTAAGGTGGCTAATGTATCTCACACAAAATGTCACTAGAATAGGCTCAGCTAATCTATAAATGGCATGTGAGATGCGACAGATAACATGTATTCAAGTTTGATTTGAAATACCCTGCAGTTAGTATGATGCGCTGAGCCCGGTGCATGCAATACCGATGAATGATGCACGCATGCATAGCATAAGGATGCTAAATTAAATATGCCCTAGTACTAACCATCAAAGCAGGTAAGTAACAGGGAGAAAGAAATGGGGGTTGGAAGACATGCACATACGCACCCACACTTATTACAAATTTGCCCTCGCTCGGAGGGACCGAAAGAATAATACAATTTAACTAACTATCAAGCTAACTAAATATTACAGATAATTAACTAGTTAAGCAAATTAACTAAGCTAATTAAGCAGTAAAAGCAGCCTCGGGAAGAGGGCCCAATGTATGCGTGCTCGGTTCCGCTCGGAAACCCACCACCATGCACAAGTTTGCCTCTGTTTCCCCTGCTCTGTTCCTCTGAAAATTGCACAAATCCCAAGGTATGCTCCATGGACACTGTAGATCACCACCGACCAAGTGGAAACCCCACCGACCATGTCCGGATGGTCATCGACCATTTGTTGAGCTCTCGGCCATCAATAATTGGTCAGTCAGCAGTATAGATGGCCGGCTGGCCAAAGCTTCCTGCAAAAACCTGTTTTGACAAGAGCAGAGGGCAGAACATGGCATGGCAATATATTTCAAGCAATGTTTGCACCAACCACACTCCTTATCATGTTTATGACTCAAGGGAGGATGGTCCTCGATTCTCGGACCATCAATCGCGCATTGCAATGCGTAATGGCCCAAGGAACCAAGTTGTGTATTTTCAATGTAGAATGAAATGCACATAAACAAACAATGAGCTCAACCTCTATCATACTCAATTCAAGAGGCAAAGCATGCATGCCAATGCAATGCAACCTAGGCATGTGAGCTAGTATGCAACATGAGCATGAGGGCAAGTATGCAAGCTAGGCACACAACCTAAGCAAACAAGCATGCAAGGTATGAAGCATCAATGCTAACCAACAAGCATGCAAGATGGAATATGGGTGTTCAAGCACGCAAACAAGCATGTGATAGGCTAAGTATGCAACAACATGCAAGGCTAATGGACATGCAAGACATGATGCAATCAAAGCATGCAAAGTGTAAGACATGTAACAAAAAACACACACACAAGCATGTATGCACGAGGGCCTAAACATGGAGCATAAGCCATCAACTCTTCAAAGAATGAAAAGGATGGAAAATGCAAGTATGCAAACATGGAACATGGACTGAAATATGGTCTCCACTGATGCCAAATCATGAGAACAAGCCAAGTAAAGCATGCTAGTGACCCACACACCCAAAGCTAACAGGCTAGAATGCAAAGAGACGATACGAAACATGTTGAGCATGACCAAAGCAACTGAAAAAAAAAAGCTAAAGCATACTAAAACATGCATAAAAGCTTCACAAAGCTTGGCCAAAATCATGCTAGAACAAGGGTCAAAGCCTAAAGCATGTTAAGGCAAATTCATGGCATTACAAGACAAGTATGCAAGGCATGTATGGTGTGTCTAAACCAAGTAAAAACAGTGCTATATTATGACAAAATAAGCACAAATAACAACTAAGACATGGCCAAAATGCACTTAAAAATGGTGCTCACACATGAGGCTATAATGGCCCTTTTCAAGGACAACAAGGAGAGGGGGTGGCCCTCTCCTTCTTAGGACCTTAAACCACCATCCTCACCACTGAGATCCCTCAAGATTTCAGTGGCAAGGAGGTCCAAACAAGGTGGTCCCGGAGCTCACCAAAATGGCACAAAATGAGGGCCAAACAAGCCCTAAGAGGGGTCAAACAACCCTAAAGCTCAAAGCAACCTTAAACAACTATTTTAGGCAGGTAAAAACAAGACTTTTATATGTTATACACAAATCCTAAAAACAGGTGCAAGATTGGTAAAAAGACTATGCAAAAATGGGGAATAAAGGAGGAAAGTTGTTACCCTTGTAGACCATCTTCAAAAAATGGAAGACCAGTAGCCTCCCTAGGTTCAAACCAGCTCCAAAACTCTGAAAATGACTCCTTAGCACCTCAGTAGCCAAGGTAAGGTGTAACACTAGGTGTTTGAATGCAAAACTAAGAACAAACACACACTAAGGCAAAGAGAGGGAGATATAGAGATAGGATAGATACATTATGACCTAACCCTAGTTCAGAGCTCTCTCTGGAAAAAATGTTGTAACCCTAATGGAGGGAAAAGAGGCTCCCTCTTATAGAGCTCACTCTTGCAAAGCTTCTCAAGTAAGCTAGTCAAGAGGGAGATCCCTCCATACACGTGTATGGAGAGGAGCAAAGTGTATGCCAGCTAGCACAGCTGGCATAAAAATATCTGCAAAAGCAGATGTACAGTGGTCGGCCAGCCAAAAATACTATTTGACCAAAACAAATGGCCGGTCAGCTACATAGAGTGCCGATCGGCCAAACATTTGGCCGATGGCAACAAACCAATGGCCGGTAGCCTCAAGCCATGGCCGGTGAGGTGTGGGGATGGCCAACAAGCCATTCCTTGCCCTCCAAAGCAAAAACACAAGTGTTTGGTGCAAAACCAGACACAAAACAGTTGAGTTGAGAGATCCTAAGGCAGGGCGCGTGGCCGAGACCTCTGGGAACTCAAGATGAACACAAACATGGATGATCACCGAGTGTTCAAACGGTGACGTCCAAGTCTTGAGGACGGTCAAAAATAGGGTGTCTACACCCCCATTTCTGAAATTCGCCTTAGGCCCCCTAAACCGCAGGGCCAGCCCTGTGCTCAACGTTTAATCTACAACGCGGATGTCGAATTCACGATGACGAGCCACTCCAAAATCTACCAAAACTTCAGGCCCAAATTCTCCAAAATCCATCAAAGAACAACTCTCTCTTTTATGAATTAAAGAAAACACACAAACCCTATAGATCCATTGATCAGTCTTAAATCATCAAGAAAGCACTTGTAAAGCACCCTTCAATATAAAACATTTTGTTTTTTACCTCTTTGAAAATATGGATGGCTCAAACCCTAAAAATAACAAATTGCGCACTTTATAGAAAATTAGATCACGAAGATTGCTCGAGCGTACACTTCACCACTCAAGCGGTGTGAGTAAAGGCGGTGCAAAACATATTGGCTGACCGTTCGAGTGCAACATTCACCACTTGAGCATTAAAACTTTCTTCCCAGAAATTCAGGTGCTCTGTAAAAGTATTGGGGGATTCTTTTCTCTGCTGGAGCGCACAAATGACTGCTCAAAGCGGTCAAACAACTTCGACAGTATTTTTGCTTTTTGTTTCAGCAAAGTGGCAAAAATGAAAGGATCAAGATCACAAGCTACTCTGCATAAGCACAATTCGGATTAGATTCGCAACTAAACACTCACATCCTCATTGAAATATAAGAGTGAGTAAAATTATAATTGAAAGGAGTTTTGTCAAACGGAATTGCCAATTACAAAAACCTAACAATCTCTCCCTTTCACAATTCCGTGACAAAACACACCTAACAAATAAAATCCTAATCACCCTAACCCATAACAGCCAATCAAGATGCTATTAGTGCTATCATCTGAAAAATAGCTATTAGTGCCACAGTTTGCAAAACAACTAATATTGCCACAAGAGTATATGAAAGTAATAGACATATGGCAAGATTATCTTGCAGCATGAATAGATGAAAATTTAAAGAACATGCAGACATACTAAAAAAACTCCCTCTCAAAAAATATCATGTAGGTTATTGTATGTTTTCGCATTGTATTTTATTAATATGGCACAACCCAATTTTTATTTTTTTCATCCCCTCCTCAAATTTCCAAGTACCCTACTCAACTACTCTCTCATTGCAACCTCTCAGACTAATATGAATTCATTCTTTGATCCCTTTCACTAATTCATACCAAAACTTAGAACTCTCTACCTTGAATTATGAGACTATTATTGTATCTTAGGTGAATTTCACGAGAAACAGTGTTGAGTGTTGAACTGAAAATTCAGACTTTGCCCCCAATTAGATGGAATAGACCAAGCATATTGTTCGAGTATCATGTCAGTTATTGTATGTTTTCGCATAATATTGATTTGATTAATATGGCACAACCCAATTCTTATTTTTTCATCCCCTCATCAAATTTCCAAGTACCCAACTCAATAACCTAAATAAGAAGAAATTCCTTACTAAATTCTCCATTAATCTATAACTTGTATTATTTTATAATAAAAAATAACCTGAAATTTAAGCCTTTTGTTCACAATGTGATGCTTTTTCTGTAGGTTACCTCACCCCGATGGGCCATTGACAACAAACAAGGCTGCGGCTTTGGCGAAGTTCCTTGAAAGAAAACTCCAGGAGCCTAATGGATTGGCTTCTATAAAGCCTAAACTTGTTGAACTGGCTATCAAAAATGCAAAGGCTACTGTAAATGCAAGTAATTACCGGTTACATCTTGTAGTTTTTTTCCCAATGGTGTTAAATTCCTTTATTCTCGAACTATGCTATGGACCTGATTAAACCTAGTCAAGTTTGTGGACACCCCTTTTTTTCCTTATGTGCAGTGCAGGTCAAATTCATGACTTATAAGCCTTATATACATGACCCAACTCATGACCTAATTTTTCTTCGAAGAGTCTTTCTTGTTGGATTATATGGTTCAGACTTGGTATAATAGTGATTTACTAAATCTCATTGATTTTGACTTTTGTTTCTTTTTTATTCTTATCCAAATTCAAGTAGCTGGTATTTTCAGAATTCAGATGAATATATACAGAATAGTTAAAAGAAGATATCTGTAACCTAATTTCTTGTTGGAGTTGGAATTCTAACAGCTAACTATAGTAACTTAGTAAGCATTAACGGATTTTTTTTTTTTTTTTGCAAATCTTGGTTTGTTTTATCCTGATAATAACTTACAAAAGTTTAGTGTTTTTATCCCTATTTGACAAGGTAGTATTGTACTCACATTCATTTGTATTTACAATTGGTACTATACCTAATTGGTTCTAGGTGGGCTTCCCAGGCCAGTGTTCACTCTTAGACTATCAATCTACTGGGATGTGGTTGTATTTGTTGGTGGGGTGCTTGATCTCTTCCCTTCTTATCATTTGGTGTTTGTATGGAGGTTTGGTAGTATGGCAACTGGTTCTTTCTGCACATTGTGCGTGGAAATAATGAGTATTCAATTTGATCAATTCTAGACAAAATCCTTGATATAGTATATATTACTCAGATGTATTCTCATAATTTCATTTGTTTTATACTTCATCTATTACGTTATGATGATGGTTGTCTTTCCTGCTTGTATGTGAATGATCTATTGTTGGTGGGGTGCTTGATCTCTTCCCTTCTTATCATTTGGTGTTTGTATGGAGGTTTGGTAGTATGGCAACTGGTTCTTTCTGCACATTGTGCGTGGAAATAATGAGTATTCAATTTGATCAATTCTAGACAAAATCCTTGATATAGTATTTATTACTCAGATGTATTCTCATAATTTCATTTGTTTTATACTTCATCTATTACGTTATGATGATGGTTGTCTTTCCTGCTTATATGTGAATGATCTACTCGCATTAATGATATCTGGGATGTTGCATATATCCCTATAGTATTTCTCATATTGCATTAAGCAATAAAATCTAATGTTCTTTCTATAACAGGTGGGGCTTCACATTCAGGAAGAATAGTTCGACAAGTAGACTCTCTTGGTGACTTTGAGGTGGTTTATTTTTGTGTTCCTGTAATCATTTTTGGAAAAGTTTTAATACACCGATGTGTTTCTATGACCTATTTTTCTTCCTAATTGGTTGCAAATATGACAGGATTCTTTGGAAGATGGAGGTGAAAAGATTGAGTCAAAGAAACACAAGAAAGAGAAGAAGAAAAAGAAGGATAAGGGAAAAAAACAAAAAAAACAAAAGGTTTGTTACCATTGACCATTTCATCCTAGTCAAATCAAAATTGTAACCTTTGCTTAGTCTTTAATGTTTTTCTGTTGCAGTCATCAAAGGACACTGCAGATGTTGTAGTGAAACGGCCTAAAAAGAAGCTGAAATTGTGATTCAAATAGAATTCGATTCCAACTGTTTGTCTGAAGACATATTCAAGGGTTTACAAACTAGGTTTATCAGAGCATCTGCTTTCGCTTTTGATTAGAACAAGCACTATTCCAATGAATTTTCAAGGAGTTTTTTTTTTTTAATTAGTTTTTTCAATTAGTTTTTTTTTTTTAGAATTTATTTGTTGCAAATGATTCAAAACCCTAATGATTAAATTCCTGAGTTGTGCAATTCAATCTATTCTTCTGGTTCTTTGTCAAAGTGGATTTGTACCTAGAAACTTCTTGCAATGTTTTCCATATGGTGTTTTGGTTGAGTCCATTACCTCATTTCCATTGAATAATTGTTGTGTTGTGTCAATTTTCTAAGGAATTTCATAACATTCTCTTAAATGTGTCTCAATAGGATATTTAATTGTTGATTGATATTTCAAACATCCATTAGTTGTCTTGTTTAGGTCCTCATTTCCTCTACTAAACAACCAAATGTAGTTTGACTTCTTGTGTGTATACTCACAGTCTCATTGACTAGAATGATCCAGGCCCATATAATAGGGTTGGCCTGAATTTTTTAAGGCCCAAAGCAAACTCAAAAATGGGGCTCAACTTTTAAACTTTTTTTAAAGAATATATATTGGTAAAATATTAAAAATCTTCAATTTATTTTACAAATTACATTCCACTATTCCAGAATGCACGATTGATTACGATTCAAACTTTTTTTTTTCAAAATAAAAATACATAATAATATTAATATTCCTTATAATATTATTTTCTTTTAATAATAATATTTTTCTTTTATTGATTGGTCTTCATTGCCTTATAAATTATTTTCCTTTAATAATAAAATTTTCCTTCATCTCCATTGCCTTATAAAATTATTTTCCTTTAATAATAAAATTTTCCTTCATCTTCATTGATTCACCTTCGTTCCCCTATATCTATATATACATATATACATATTGTATTGCATAGCTAATCGTTACACTGAAATCATACAGATACAACAAACAAAGAGAAAGAGAAAGAGAAAGAGAGACAAAACAATTCAATGGCATTCAAGGCTTTTATCTCCCGTATCACATCATCCTTCAAATTCTGCCGCTCCAAAAATCTATCCAACATCCCAGAAAATCCTATCCAACTCTCCCCAAACCCTCTCTTTATTGACTGCCAGCCGGCCACCCCGCTCCCTTTCAAAAAAACCCACCGCTCCTCTTTCAAGCACCATGTCTCCTCCTTCTTCGGCTGTGGGTTCCGCACAGACGAAGACGACCTACCCAAATCACCGCCATGCAAGTGGGACGAGACGCCACGTCGCGACTACAACTCCTCCATCTCCAGCAATTCCGACGACGAACTCTTCCCTCCTCCTCCTCCGCCGACACGACACCCTATCACCACTTCCATCTCCGGTGATTCCGACAACGAGCTCTTCCCTCCTCCTCCTCCTCCTCCTCCTTTGACGCCGACACGACACCCTATCACCACTTCCTCGGCCGACAGTGGTTTGTGTGGTTACGAGAGTGACGATGAAGAAGAAGAGATCGTGACACTTTCACTAAATCGTAAAAAGATGATGAAAAAGCTGCTACCGTCATTTCCGGCGGAGGGGAAAGTGAAGGACAGCTTCGCGGTGGTGATGGAATCGGTGGACCCATATGAGGATTTCAAGGCATCCATGGTGGAGATGATATTAGCGAAGCAGTTGTTTGAGGCGAGGGACTTCGAGTAGTTGTTGGAGTGTTTCTTATCGCTCAATTCGTGTCATCATTACGGGGTCATTGTTGATGCTTTTTCTGACATCTGGAAGACAATTTTTTTGTAGTGCTAGTTGTATTTTGTTTAGTTGCTCAATTGAGTTTTGTATCTTGATTTTTCATTATTTTTCTCTTTCTTTTGTCCTTCATTTATTTCTATTCAAACCTGACCAAAAGAAATGTTATCTTTATTTCACATTATTGAATCAGCAGACATGTACTGATGTGGATGTTGTTGAGTGTGGATGTTGTTGAGTGTGAATTAGTAGACATTCAAACCTGACCAATTTTTTTAAAAAATTATTATTTTTTCTGAATCGTACATGTATTTGCTTCATTAAAATCATGTCTTTAATCGTGTACTCCGTGAGGCATTGTTCATTGGAAAGTTGAGGTTTTTGGTGGTAGAATTCGAAGATTCGACTTTGAAGTATTGGGTTTATTTTAATTTTTTATTTATGGGAATTGAATGTGCTTCAATGGTGTACTGGGTTGTAAAATAATTATTTGATTTTTATTTATCCTTTTAGGGTTAATAGGAAATTTGTTTGTTGCTTGGAGGGTTACCAATTATTTTGGGAGTGAATGTTCTATTCGGGCATGGATTATGCAAAGGAAACCGGTGAAACCGCTGCAGACACAGCGCTAATCCAGACACAGTTTGTGTGGCCTTATGGAGGAGGAAGTGTTTTTCTCTGTGGCTCTTTTTACAAGGTGAGACTCAAATGCTCATGTGTGATTTTGATGTTTCATTTGTTAACTGCACTGTATTGTTCATTACTTTGTTGTAAGTCTTAGTTCAATTGATTGTTATTTGTTTAATTTTAATTGATGGGAAGTTAACTTTTTTCTGGTAAAGGTGGTCTGCTCATTATCCGATGACTCCTGTAGAAGGGTGTCTCATTGTATTTCAGACTATTTGCAGCTTACCGCCAAGTTACCATCAAGTTGGTTTATAACTTCAGGAGGTTTTGATGATTCCACTCAAGCTGAGTTTAATTCAATAATACCTTGATCACTATTGTCAAATAATTTCCTATTAAATCATATTTATTTTTATTTTTTTCATGCAAATTTGTCAATTATGTGTTGTGAATGGTGGATGAGTTCATATATGGTAAATGGGTTCCATGAACAAACAAAACATTTACTTTTTTTATGGGCGTAGTGAAACTTATGTACGTGCTCGATGGTAAATTCTAGCAACCTTTTGGGGTATGGTAATTGTTTTGATAGATGTTGCCTTTTGATGTGGTTGGATGTGAAAATGGTGCTATATTTTTTCTTAAAATTTGTTTCATCCCCTAAGTTCTTGCTGTCATATGCTGCGATTGTAAACACTTCTTTCCATTCTGGTATTTCTCTATGCACCATCTTGTTTTCTTGCAAATAATACTTATTACAAGGGAGGTAATTCAGTTGTATTATTTTGAATGCTTACGGAACAAAGAAGCAAGTGTATTGTTGTTAATTATTCAGATATGGTTTCTCTCTCTTAATTTAATTGAACACAAAGTATAGAAATTTCTTCTCGGCTCAGAAGATGTGTCTTCTCTGCCCACAAGAACATAATGTTATTGAGCTTAGAAGATGAACTGATTCTGTCCTAGCTGTCATGTGGTCATTTATTTTAAATGATTTATTTACTATTTTGTGATTTTATTTTTAAATTGATGTAGAAAATCAGCGAAGAGGTTTAGATCCAGAGGAGTTAATTTGGGATCTTCACTTGGACGTGTTGTCATACTGAATGGAATATTAATGAATGCGTTAAACACTCCAACATTAAATTTGATTTCCTCTTAGTTCCACAAAAAGTTTACCGTGATGATCTGTAATAACAATAATTTTGAACCCTCATGTAGTTTTTTTTTCATTTTGTTAAGTTGAATTTAGCACATTGGCTAAGAGCTGTAATTGGCGCATTAGTGAAGGAAAAAAGAACATTATTACAATAAGAAAGAAGTTGGATTAGAACGCTTTGGAATTATATGTTGACCAATGTTAAAATAAGAAATAACATTATTTTATTTTTAAATGTAGTCGGGTTTGACGAGAATGGACGCTGCAATTGATCAGATGGTACCCTATGGGTTAACCAAGGACTAGGTTCGGAGTACGGTTAAGCAACTTCTAAGACCAAGTAAATTCCTAAGCAAACTCCTATATTGTTCCCACTTAGTAAATAATTTAAAATGACAAAATGGTATTTTGAAAGGAATAACTAGAATGGATTACATCAGAGTTCCCATCAAAAGGATTCTCAGTAGATGTATTATCAACAGCATCTAAGACAGAGTAAGTTCTTCTTGTGTAAATTGCCAAAACCACCATCTCCGTAGAGTTTTTAGTATCAGTTGGTTTATTGATCAAGTGGATGACATTTGTGCCTTTGCATTCAGTCTCAATTGAGTTCATGCCATGAATTGATGAATTTACCACTATATTGCTCAGCACTTAACTAAGCATTTTCTTTCAAGACTGATGAATATGAACAAGTAGAAAAGGAAATATTACTGAATAGAAATTTTGTAAGTTTTGAATCGGTGGTGCTACATGTACCAATTAGTGTACTAACTAGTGTACCAATACTAATTATGACATTATTATTGACCACACTCATTATATAAATTACAAATACCAAAAATTTCTTAAATTATGTCACATCATGATTTGGTATACTAGTTAGTGCACTAGTTTGTGCATATAGCATTATTCCTTTTAAATAATTGATGGCACCTAATCCAAAAGTTTTGAAGGCTTTTAGTGCAATGAAGGTTTTGGGCATTCCTACAGAAACTGTGAAACTGATACTCAAGAACCTTCTGAAGTTGTAAGATAATAATTGAAAACTCATTGAGGATGATAGCTACCATACTCTTGCTGATGCTATATTTGAGTGCGTAGATAATAAGATTTATTATTTTATTAATTGTTGAACTTTTTATGATTCAAGTGATAATCTAATTTTTTTTGTTTATCTGGTTATATAGTTTAGGGTGCTTGAGTTTGGTTCATTTAAGAATAGCAATAATTATGGTCTTAGGTAACTTTTCACTTTATTTTATTTAACCTTCCACCAACGCCGTGATTTGTAGTATTGCTTGTAAGTAATACATTCGCTATTCTTTTGACTATGTAGCGAGTTCCCATGCAAATCTAAAGTACCAACAACGGAGTACACAATCATTGTGAGGTGAGTATACCAAAGAATTGTCCAACATGCAGCTACATACCAAACCA